GTATGATATGGAAAAATGTCTTGATTGACAGGCAAATCGCATTGCATTTGGCATGACCAATTATTTGGCATTTACTGTTTCCTGCTCATCTCTGGCTAATTGGTTATGCCGGCGACTGTGAATGTTGCCAAAGAAATGGAAACTTGAGCCATCTTTTGTGTCTAATTATTGACTCTAAAAAGCGACTTTCACTGGTCCGGTGACTGTGTGTTCGTTCTCCTCTTCTCTCTCCTCTCTTATTAGAAAATCACCGCCCATCTTTGTGACCTTTCCCCCATTCCATTACCGTTTTCCTGACTGTTTTCCTGCCCGTTTTCCCCTTCACTCTCTAATGATCTCAGTGTGATCATCTCGGGGTCTCTCTTCTGTGTTTTGTATCTCTGTATCTTTCTACGTTGTTCTACCTTTAGATACTTTTTTTTCGTGGTATCTGCTTATGATGCAATTCTCTCTTTCTCTCTGTATCTTCTGTAATTAGAGGTCTTAAAACGAGAATGGGTATGGACAGTGAGGAGAGTTGGGAGCGTGCCTAATGATAACCTTTTCGCAGGGCCTTGGAATACACCAAAAGAAAATACTATCTACCTTTCACTGTTCAAGCCTCTCCTAAGAAGCTTCTAAGGCCAAAAGTTCTCAATGCTTTCTGTTTTCTTTTTGACCGTGTACATATTTTCCCCTCCCGTCCTTTTTTTGGTTCACAGTAACTGCAAATTTTCTTGATTACCGGTTAGCCTTTACTTAAATCCAAGTACGCGCCACTGGCCACCAGAATTGGCCACAACAACAACAGGAGAAAAATGAAAAAGAAAAAGTATAAAGAGAAAAACAGAAGGAAAAATATATGTATAGAGAAGCAAAGAAACAGATACCCAAAGAAGGGGCGTCATGGGGCGTGGGGCGTGGCAGCCCTGACCATTGACCATTTGTGTTGGCCAGCTGATGATGAGGAGCTTGGAACTTTTGCAAAAGTCCATCGATCTACGATTCTGGGCCATATAATTATACGCAGCAGACACAGTTTGTGACCTTCATGAACCCCTTTTCTGCCATTCTGCCATTCTGCCATACTGCCATCCTGCCCTTAGCTCGTTTCTATAATTGCAGTAGGCAAATCCTTTCGAGAAATCCCAGAAATCACACACACACACAACACACTCAAATTAGAAATGGTCAAGGACGCGGGCAAGGCAAAGAGGCCAAAAATAAACCTAAAGACAACCCAAGACATGACTATAAATAACGAGATTCGTGAGCTGGCAATTTCCATTCCATTGGTGAGGAGTTCCAACGAGAATGACGTCAACAGAAGGAGATGTCCGTGGCCCTTTATCTGGGCAACCAGATCTGTTGCCCTTGTAATTGGGCCTTCTGTTAGTAAGGAGATCGAAGGGCTTGGACTGGGCTGGACTGGGCTGGACTGGGCTCCTCATCATCATCATCATCCTCGTCTTTGGCTCGTTTTCAAATGCATTTTATTTTGATCGATCGATTGATCCTATGAGCCAGTCACGAGGAAAGGAAAGCGATAGCTATCCCCATCATCCGAGCTCCTAATTATTTCGATTTTAAGTTATTAAATCAAGTGATTAAGTTCACTTATAATATTAAGCCCAATCAATAAGAAGCCACTAAGCTTGGCCTTCGTTTGTGGCTGATTCTTCGACATTAATTCCCCATAAGTTGGAAGAACCTAGCTCCTTACCTGCCTTACCTGTCTTCCTTTTTATTTTTTTGTGGCACATGCAAAACGAGAGCAATCGCAGAAGATGCAACACGAGTTGCTAGTGCAGACCCAGAGCCAGCGACAATTTCTAGCTTTCGGCTCCCGTTGAGCTTGCTGCATGTTGCTGCTGTTGCTGTTGCTGCTGCTGCTGTTGCTGCTGCTGCTGCTGTTGCTGCTGCTGCTCCTCCTTCTCCTCTTGGTGCTGCTCCTCCTTCTACTGCTGCTCCTCATCCTACTGCTCCACCTCTTGTTGCAGTTGCTCTTGTCGCTGTCGCCGTTGTTGCTGTCGTGCTCTTCGAGGGGGATCGTCGCAGCAGTTGCAACAGCAACATCAGCGGGCATTCCGCTGTCTTTGCCACCTATTTCATACAGCATGCAGAACATTTGTTGTCGCTGTTTCTGTTGCTGTTGTCGCTGTCGATGTTGCTGCCGATGTTGCTGCTGATGTTGCTGCTGATGTTGCCCTGCAATCGGACACGCGGCCAACTGGCAACATTTGGCACTGGCCCGCAGAGAATTCGATGCTCTGGCTATCGTTTGCCATTTACCCCTTCCAATGGTCTATGATGCACAGGAAAAAATATTTGTATACCTTTGCTAGGGTATTATTTCAGTCAGAAGCTTGTTATGCAGTGAAGGAGTCACTTCCGACCCTATAAATCATATATATTCTTGATCAGCATCAATAGGGGAATCTTTATAGCTATATTTGGAAGAAAAAAAAATTTGTCTAATTTTTTCAAAATTTTTTAAGGGGTTACATCGTAAAAATTAATAAATAAAAATGATAAAAAATTGAATTTTTTCAAATTTTATACTGACTATGCAGATTTATTTACCTATAAAAAACTAGCACAAAACAGCTTTCCGAATTAAAATTAATGCTTTTTTGACTGAGTTATGAGTTTTTTAAATTAAGATTTTTAGAAAAAAGTGTCATATAAACATATAGCTAGTATTGATTAAAAAATGGTATTATAATTTTAACCAAAAGCTTAAAACTAAGTGAAGGAATCATTTCTGACCCTATAAATCATATATATTCTTGATCAGCATCAACAGGAGATTCGATCTAGCCACCTCCGGTAGAAAAAATTTTTTTATTAATTTTTTCAATATTTTATAAGGGGTTACATTTTTAAATTTTTGTATTAATGTTTAAAAATTAAAAAATTTTTACATTTTAAACTGAGTATGCAGATTTATAAACCTAGATAAAAATAGCATATAACCGCTTTCCGAATTAAAATTAATGCCTTTTTAGCTGAGTTATTAAGATTTTAAAGTTTCATTTGTTGCATATAAAATAATGATATATATGTTATCTAAAAACTTGGACTTCCCGAAGTTTAATTTCTTTCTTGTATAAATTGAAATACTGATTGCAGATTGTCGATCTTTTTATATTGATTACACATAGGAACATAGTACAAACTCCAATACATATTAACAAACAAAAGATATTATATATGTACATTTTAAAATATTTTGTTTCTTAGGGTTTTGTTTCTGTTTCTAGATTATATAGTAAACTTATATTCCTTGATTATTGATCACATTTTTGTCGCTGTGCCTGGAACCATTGTTGGCTTTCATTTGGCCATTTGCAGCTCGTGTTGGGCTGGCCAACGAGCGGTTTAATATCGCCAGTAATGGCCACGTTCTGCGCTCTATAATCACTTGAATGCATGAAATAATTGCAATGGCAGAGGAGGAGCAGGAGAAGCCAAGGAGTCCAACTACGAGTTCGAGTCCAAGTTGGAGTTGGAGTTGGAGTTAGACTCAAAGTCGTAATCGTAGTCCGTTCTGGACAATTTTCGCAAAACAAATTGAATTGAATATGTAAATATAATTGCTTCGGGGGAAGAGGCTAGAACGAGTTGGTGGACTCCACTGCCCTTCTGGTGGAAGGATGAGGTGGGGGCGTTTAAAAACCCATAAATTGCAACTTAAATGCAAGCACAAACTCCCTCCAAAACGGGAGTGAGTAGCAGCTGGCCAAGATTCATATATGGCAGCATTAGCTTCCGCAAGACTTCTGACCATTTGTAGAAATGAATGCAAATGCATGCAGTTAAATAATCCATGACTTTGGACTGTGACTCGGGATGGATGAATGAATCAAAAAGGGATTCAGCTCACTGCCAAATCTTTTGTCTGGGAATAATTAAACGAATTGCTTTCATAAGGTGGAAAACTGAGCCTGGGAAACTTGATTCAAGTGCCTAATGACCTTCATTGAAACCTTAAAGAGCTTGAAATGATGTATAATCATATATACATAATATCTCCGACTGAATTTCAAAACTCTCTATTAAAGACTCAAGACTTTTTGCTTTGCCCATCACTTTTCCCTTCAAAGAACAACTCCTTCTACTTCCAAGCGAAACCATTTCGCTTTTCTGTCCGTCGTGAGGTGAAGGACCACCCACACTCACTGACACTGGACTCCTTGGGCACCTTGCAGGTCAGCTTCACTGAACCATCATGTGCACCACCATCAAGCAGGGTCAATTGGCTAGGATTACCTGTTTTGGGTGGATGGAGGCCGCAGAAAGCAATTTGCAGGCAGCCTCCAAGAACCACAAGAATGCCGAAAAGCTGTTGAGCGAAATTGGAATTGGAATTGCCATTTGGTTGGGGAAATAGGAATGGGTATAGGAGTAGGAATGGGAATGGGATTGGAAATAGTAATGGACAGTGAGAGAGAGTGGGCAGACGTTAGAAACTCAAACCGCAGATCGTCAATAAAACCGCAAAGGCATCGGCCCCCTTTTCCACCATTTCGGTCAGCTCATTAAAGTCTCTTGGTAACTCAAAGAGTTTGATGTGGGATGTGGGAAGATGTCTGCCACTTGGCCAACGAACCTGGCTAGTCCAGAGGAGCAGGAGGAGCAGTAAGAGGAGGATGGGAATGGCCGTACGAAGAATGAGGAGAAGCTAGCTGCTTTTATTGGTTCGGTGGTTTGGCGCTTAGTTAAGCGTGTAATGGGCGGAAGTAGCCACTGCAGTGAGTCCACAGAGACAGAGAGCTCCACTGCGCCACCGCCTTCGTCTGCTTCCTTTCCTTTCCTGGCCTTCTTGGAGGCTGTCAGCAGTGGTCGCGGTCAGAGAAGTGGAACGAATGGGGCGGCGCATGGGAGTTGGGGTAGAGAAGTAGCGAAAGGAAGTCTTCTTGGGAACTGGCAAATGCCTACATGAAAGATGACTCTAGATTCTATGGTTATCCAAATAGAAATACTCTCTAACCTTTGACTCATTTCCCTCCTCCTTGCAGATGCAGTCAGCCGAGAGCAGCAGCAGCAGCAGCAGTAGAAACCGCAACCGATCGTCGTACCACACACTCCGCATGGGTTCCCTGCTCATTGCCTCGCTGGCCATTCTCCTGGTGATGCTACCCGGACAGGTGGCCGGCCGGATGGCCTTTGAGAAGCTGACAGACTTTGATTTTCCCGGCAACACGTACTACAGCGTAAAGAACCTGTCGCTATACGAATGCCAGGGTTGGTGCCGCGAGGAGCCCGATTGCCAGGCGGCTGCCTTTAGCTTCGTGGTGAATCCCCTTTCACCCTCGCAGGAGACACACTGCCAGCTGCAGAATGACTCATCGGCGGCCAATCCATCGGCGGCACCTCAGCGTAGCGCCAACATGTACTACATGGTGAAGCTGCAGCTGCGCAGCGAGAACGTTTGCCTGCGTCCCTGGAGCTTCGAGCGGGTGCCCAACAAGGTGATCCGTGGCCTGGACAATGCCCTCATCTATACCAGCACCAAGGAGGCCTGCCTGTCCGCCTGCCTCAACGAGAAGCGCTTCGTGTGCCGGTCCGTGGAGTATGACTACAACAACATGAAGTGTGTGCTCAGCGATTCGGATAGACGCAGCTCCGGTCAGTTTGTCCAGCTGGTGGATGCCCAGGGTACCGATTACTTTGAGAACCTCTGCCTGAAACCGGCCCAGGCCTGCAAGAATACCCGATCATTTGGCAATGCCCAGCGCATGGGTGTCTCCGAGGAGAAGGTGGCCCAGTATGTGGGTCTGCACTACTACACCGACAAGGAGCTGCAGGTGACCTCCGAGTCTGCTTGCCGCCTGGCCTGCGAGATTGAGAACGAGTTCCTGTGCCGCTCCTTCCTGTATCTGGGCCAGCCCCAGGGTGCCCAGTACAACTGCCGGCTGTACCATCTCGATCACAAGACCCTGCCCGATGGTCCGTCCACCTATTTGAACCATGAACGCCCGCTGATCGATCACGGTGAGCCCATTGGTCAGTACTTTGAGAATCAGTGCGAGAAGGCAGCGGGAGCAGGACCTGGCTCTCCTCCGGGCACCCTGGATAAGATTGATACGCTGCCCGTGAGTCTGGACACCATTGAGGATCCCAATCTGACCAATCTGACGCGCAACGATGTCAACTGTGACAAGACGGGCACCTGCTATGATGGTAAGTCTATCTTGGCTTGGTTTTGAGAGGAGTTTCTCTAATAGTCTCTGTCCTTGCTCTCCCTAGTCTCTGTCCACTGCAAGGACACCAGGATTGCCGTGCAAGTGCGCACCAACAAGCCCTTCAATGGACGTATCTATGCTTTGGGTCGCTCCGAGACCTGTAACATTGATGTCATCAACTCGGATGCCTTCCGTCTGGATCTGACCATGGCTGGACAGGATTGTAACACGCAGAGTGTGGTAAGTACTCCTATGAGAAGATTAATCCTAGTTCCTTTTGCGAATTACTACATTTCCTTTACCAATTCAGACTGGCGTCTATTCCAACACCGTGGTCCTGCAGCATCACAGTGTGGTGATGACCAAGGCCGACAAGATCTACAAGGTCAAGTGCACATATGACATGAGCTCCAAGAACATCACATTCGGCATGATGCCCATCCGTGATCCCGAGATGATTCACATCAACTCATCGCCGGAGGCTCCACCACCAAGGATCCGCATTCTGGACACACGCCAGCGGGAAGTGGAGACTGTGCGCATTGGAGATCGTCTCAACTTCCGCATCGAGATACCCGAAGACAGTGAGTATCGGAATATATTTACCTATTTTACTTTGGGAATATTCTAATAAAACTCGTTTGTTTTAGCTCCCTATGGAATCTTTGCTCGCTCCTGTGTGGCCATGGCCAAGGATGCCCGTACCAGCTTCAAGATCATCGACGACGATGGCTGCCCCACCGATCCCACCATCTTCCCTGGCTTCACCGCCGATGGCAATGCCCTGCAGTCCACATATGAGGCCTTTAGGTTCACGGAGAGCTATGGTGTCATCTTCCAGTGCAATGTCAAGTACTGCTTGGGTCCCTGTGAGCCGGCTGTGTGCGAATGGAATATGGAGTCCTTTGAATCATTGGGCAGGAGGCGTCGTCGTTCGATTGAGAGGTGAGATATAGCCTTAAGAAGCAGAAGGATATATAAAATATAATCTTTAATTCCTTCTACCTGTAGCAACGAGACCAAGAGCGAGGATGATATGAACATCTCTCAGGAGATTCTGGTCCTGGACTTTGGCGATGAGAAGCGTGAGTTCTTCAAGGCGGATCCCAGCACGGACTTTGCCAAGGGTGAGTTGTCTTTTGCGTCCCTGAAGTTTTAGTGAACTCTGTGCTGACTGTACTTCCGTTTCATTCTCTCAATTGTAGACAAGACCGTCACCATCATCGAGCCCTGTCCCACAAAGACATCGGTGCTGGCTTTGGCCGTCACCTGTGCGCTGATGATCCTGCTCTACATCTCCACGCTGTTCTGTTACTACATGAAGAAGTGGATGCAGCCGCACAAGATCGTGGCATAGGTCTGGGAGCGCGGAACGAGCGGAAACTGAAACAGTAGCTAGCAGAAGAAGGAAACAGTTGCAGTAGAATGAAAGAAACAAAAACAAAAACATAACAAACAAAAAAATATATGAAACGGAAAGAAAAAAAGAAAACAAAAAGAAAGAAAAGAAAACAAAAAGAAAATACACAACAAAATTGTCACTCACACACACACACACACATACGCTCTCTCTCTCTCGCACACAAAACACACAAACACACACGCTAACTGTGCATGTCTATATCTTTGTCTCGCTCTTGCCCATGCAGGCTTAGCGCCCCTCCCACTCACACACACACACAGACACATTTGGCCCCCCCCTTGCTGACAACCGTATAATTTTTTGTTTTTTTTTTTTTAAATGATATATATTTAAATTAATTACTTAATATACATTTATTTATTTATATTTATTTAGACTTAGAGCGTGAGGTAAAATTTCCCCTAAGAGAAAAGCTAAACTAAATAACAATCCTAGTACACAAACACACACACGCACACCACTAACAAGAAGTAGAAGAAGAAAAAGCACATTTCACTTATGCGAATATTAAGAGTAAAGAAAAATGAAAAAACAAAAAGTAAAAAGAGAAAAAGAAATGAAGGAAAAGCTGCGAGCGCGTACTTTCTATAAAGTTACGAAAGGGAACAATGGAAATGGAACATCGTCCTGAGAGAAAGAGAGAGAAATACAGAGAGAGAGAGAGAGAGCGATCGATGTACTAGTAAAAGAGAAGGATGAGTGGGAGAGAGAGAGAGAGAGATAGAGACGATGGATCCCTTTTGTAACTTCTATAGAGACTGCAGCCGCACAAACTCGCACTCAATCACACACCCACACACGCAGGTACACCCACCACCCACCCACCCACACACTCACACTCGCCTGTTTCCACACACTCATTCAGACTCACACACACGCACTCACATTTATTTAATTGTAAAAGGAACGCAATAAACAGCAAACAAAAGCAATCGAAACATAACTAAGGAAACTGAACGAAGCAGAGACAAGAAGAGTGATTTCATCGAGACAAATCTCAATGGAATTGTGCTTAATTGTATTGCATTTATTTAATTTAAATTTATTTATGATAATAAAGAACTATAATGACAAAAACAAAACAAAAAACGCATAGATCCTCTATGTCCAATGTAGTTTTTATCTTTAAAAATTATTTACTTACATATGCAAGTCTTTTTTAATAGTATGTTACAGTACCAACTTATTTCCTATAAAAGATTCTTGGCTTCATCTTATTAATCAAATAAAATTATGACTTTTTTATCTCCAGAACTCAACGGAATAATATCAACTTATAATCCATACGGTTTCTGAAACAAAAAAGATATACAATTCCATAAATTCTTCCAAAATTAAATGGATTTTTTGAAACCTTTTGTTAGAATATGGTAAGTTTATTTGAATTTAATTGTATAAATGCATTTGTAAAAGAAATTGGCGGACCTTAGAGCTAACATACTGGTTAGGACGGAGTCTGTTTGTGTTAGCCTTAAAAAAAGTTTGTCATATTTTATATCTTATGGATATAAACACTCGTACTTTGAAGATCAATTGGTGATCAATAATTATCCGAGTTGCCTTGAACAATGCTCGAAGAAATAATCTCAGTTGCGATGAAATTACCACAGGAGCTTTTCCTGGAACTAAAACAATTTTAATTTCAAGTTATCTCTTCAAAAGATACACTTACCAGGGCTCCATATCCAAGATCCCAGGGAGTAATCTTCGCATATACCTTAATAGAAACCTAAAACTAAGGTGGATGACTTGGGGAGGTATCTCCCCTCGCCTCCTTGCACATGGTATTCCTTAGATCTATTCCTTATCTATGATGCATAAATTCCGGCCACAGGCAGTGGTCACCTCAGCTTTAGCGGCTTGATTTCGGCCAGGCCATGCTCTGGTGCCCGGGACTTGGCCGCTGCCACGCAGGTCTCCTTCAGCGACTTGCCCGCCGGCCGCTTGGTGCACTCATCAAAGTAGCACTTCTCCACGTTGTGCAGAAACTCCACCAGCAGTCGGTCATCGCCACCGTTCGGTCCCACCGAGTACTCGCACTCGAAGCCGTACTGCTTGAGGTCCCGCACGCAGCAATCGATGAACTCGGCGTTGGCCGAGAACCAATCGTTGTGGCGCTCCAGGGGAATGCCCAGCCTGGCTCTCACCACCCCGTCAGCCAGGTGTCATCGATCCAGAAGATAGGCACCCGTTCCGCCTCCGCCACCAGCCGGGCTGCTGTCGGGACATTGGTCACGTACATCCAGCCCGATAGATAGGCCGGATACAGGGCATGCGGATATTCCTGCTTGCTCACATACCACTTGTTTGCCTTTAGGCGAATGGGTGGCTTGGCGTCCAGCACAAAGCCGGACAGAAGCGTACTGGAGGTGGCCAGTTCAGGCTGACCCACTTCGAGGGCCTCCAGATATCGCCGCAGATGGAATACGTCATAAATAATGTCGTCGTCCAGCTTAATGATGAACTTAGCATGTCCCTTGCACTCCTGCGAGGCCCAGCGTAGTCCCATCACATGCTTGTAGCTCAGGTTGCGATAATCCTCCACAAAGTTGCCCTGCACAAGATCTCCGAACCGCTGCTGTTCGCTCGCTAGCTGCTCCTGGCTGAGGAAGCGCTCGCGCGGCGGCAAGGCGGCCAGTAGAAACACTCGCTGCAGCCCCATCTCGGCAAGCTTGCTCTGTGGTATGGCCTGGCGGTGGGCAGAGCGCAGGGCATCGTGACCGGCATAGGATGTGACTATTAAAATGGCTAAAAACGAGCAAAAGTGAGATGAAGCTTCCTGGAGGCTGCGGAATCGCACTTACCCAGCAGCTCACGCTCTGCCTTGCGACACACATTACTAGGCAGCAGGTATTGGAAGTCGGTGAAGTTCAGTAGTGGCCCCGCTGGCAACGTTGCACGTCGTCCGGGCAAGGTGGAAGCGGCGGCATCGGCGTCATCCTCCCCGTCCACAGCGGGCAGATGCTGCAGGAACTCGTCGTCGGCGGCGGGCGCTTCCCGCTGGTGGCCGGAGAAGTAGATGGAGCAGAGCAGGACAAGCAGGAGCAGCGACAGGACGATCGGGAGCAGTCGGCGGCCGCGCATGCGCATCTTCTTACATTCTCTGTGGGTGGGGTTCCCCTCCGATCTGGTGGCTGTGTGTGTCGTATCAGTGGCGCCTCGTCGGCATGGGTATTTGTGTTTGTGTTGAATTAATCTAATAATAGCAACAACAATAACAAAAACAAAGACCAATTGTGGCTTTTTAGTTTTATTATTTTCTTTAGCAATTATCGTGAGAAATTAACTAACGCCTAATTGATTTAGATTTATGGTATTTAGTATTTTCAACAGAATATACTAAAGTAGAACGTAAACAATACTTTCACTATCGATAGTCCGATAGTCACAGCTTAGCTTATTTTAGGCCAGATCTAGCATATTCGGAAATGGTGGCAGCACTACAACGAGAATATGAAAATATCGATAGCGCTTTAGTGCGATAGCGCTACTACCGATATTTCGAAGTTCGTGCTCGCTCACGGGAGAATTCTGTTAATTGACATGTATTTTTACTTACTTTAACATTTCTGTTAAATGGTTTTACATGTAAGATGTTAACAGCTTCAAAATTCAAAGTGACCATACAATGATATAAAATACCAAAAAAATATCGATATATTGGTATTTTTATATAGAGTCAACAACTAACAACGACTGACACCTGGCAGCCAACGATAGAGACTTCTGTTAATTTATATCCACACGACAGCCAACGAGGGGCAAATCTGTTAATTAACACTCTTTCTCCCTGGATGACAGCAGGTCTGTTAATTACTTCTACTTCCTACATGAAAATTCTACCCCATGTATCTGTAATCGTGTAAAACGGTTCTGTAAACGTGTAACATGTAAAATGTTAATTAACACTAGTTTCTTCTTCTTCGATAGTGCAAAAACATCGATGTATCGATACTGCTCCGATGATTTGCCAATCGCTTCTTGTAGAAAGAGAAAGAGTCATCAAACGAGGTCCAAGTGTTTTTAATTATTAATAAATAACTTAAGTTAGACCGCAAATTGTTTAGTGAATGTGCGAAAAACACGTCGCGTGTGCTACTCTCAACACTCGAAGCGTCGAAAACAAGAGGGACAAAGAGTGAAGACGGAAACATAAGAAAAAAGTTAACTGTGGCCACCAAAACGCAGTCGACGTCGCCGTCGCGCTGCTGGCGTTGTTTATTTGTTGTTTTTTTTTACGTGAGCGCAAAGCGAGTATAAAAAAGGCAAGGCGAGAAGTGTTGTGGACGGGGGAAATGGGGGGCGGAGCTAGCTCCATTTCGTTTTCATTTTCATTCCCGAGCCACAACGTGCACACGAAAATGTTCGCGACAAACGGTAAAATCTTAAGGCAATGATGGCGGCCAAATAGATAATAACGGTGAACAGAAAGAAGAACGAAAAATTTAATAATTCGACCAGCCACGAACGAGTCCGCTGCTGCTGCGCGCGCTGCCGCCAGTGACCGAGGCAGAGAGGCAGCAATCTTATCGCCTATATGTTCGTGTTCCAGAGCCAATTGATGGGCGCTGTGCTTCTTCGGACCGAAAAAACGCTGAAAAACTGACTGATGGGATATTGATTCTTCTTCAGCATTCAGAAATCAAAAACAAAGAAGGACCGCAAGAAAAGCACGGTGAAAACGGTGTGTAAAGACAACTGTGCCTGTCCTGTGTGAGTGTGCGTGCGCGCGTTTTGGTGTATGTGTGTGTGCGAAAAACAGTTATTTTTGTTGTGAAAACAGTGAAAAAGTTGAGGCGAAAAGATGACGGACTATGTGGAGCTGATGAACAGCATGTCCAGCACATTCAACAGCGACTGTGCCACGAGCACGGCGGAGGGCGGCACCCTCTTGAACCTGGACCTGGCCGAGGACAAAACTCTCAAGTGGCGCAATCTGGCCAACAATCAGTTTGCCTGCAAGGACAAAAAGCATAAGGAGGAGGAGCAGCGGGACAAGGAGAAGGAGAAGGAGCGGTCTCAGGAGAAGCCCGAGGAAATCGAGGATAATATCAAGGAGCTGCTCGCCGATGTTGTGGATGCCGCTGCCGTGAAGCTGGAAGAGGAAGCAGCAGCAGCAGCATCGGCGGCGGCAGCAGCAGCAGAGGCAGAGGTAGCTACGGCGACGCCGGCAGAGCTCCAAGGCCAGAATGCAGAGCACAGCGCAGAGGAAAAGGAGGCAACGTTGGCGGTGGAGCAGCAGCAGCAGCAAAGAGAAGAAGAGGGTGCAAAAGAGAGCGATTACAAGCAGGCAGAGGAGTCGGAAGAGGTGGTGTCACAGAATACAAATACCGCTAGCATAACAGTAAAGGTGGAAAACGAGCAGGCAGAGAAAAGTGCAAATGCAGCGACGTTGGCAGAGGACAGCAGCAGCGGCATCAAGACTGAGCAGCAGCCCAAAGAGGCGGCAGCACTGGGACAAGAAGAAGAGGAAGAAGACGAAGCAAACGAGACAGCAAAAGCTAAAGCCAAAGCAAACGCAGCTTCGAAATCGCCATCAAAATCAGCATCTCCACTTGTTGTCAATTCTGCCAGCGTCGACGTCGTCGTCCCGGCTGACGCAACAGATTCGAATGTGGCCACCAGCAGCAGCAGCGGCAGCAGCAATAACAATAATAGCAGTAACATTGCCATCACCAGCAGCAGCAGCAGCAGTGAGCCAGCAGCGACGCTGTCGGAGGCAGTGGCAGCAGCAGCAGCAGCTGATAAAAACGTACGTACATGTGTGCAAGTGTGTCTCATTGCGAATGTGTGTGTGTGTGTGAGGTTCGAAATTCCTGTGCCTCGTTTTTATTTCGTATGTTTTTGTTATTGTTTTCTGTGCATTCGTTTCAATTGTTTGATTCACTTTCACGCGCTTAACGCTATCGGAAGTCCCCTTTTTAGTTTTTGCTTTAGTTTCTGCTCTCCCCCATTCCCTCTTTGCCCTGCATTTTGAGCTAGATTCTGGGCTTAACTCCCCAACAGCCAACAGATGTTTCATGTACATATATTTTTTGTTTCTTTTTTTTTATGGCCGTCGAGGGAAAAGCTTTAACATTGGTCACTCGACAGAAAAATAAAACAAGAAAAAACTATGACGAGCTTTCAAGCTTCACACATGTTGGTTTAAATCTTTAGAAATTTAAAACTTGAACCACTTGCAGTTCAATCATTAATTAGAGTTCGACTTTCCCAAAATTACACGTGTATATATACATATATATATCTAATCTCTGTGATAGTATCTCTCTAGTCCAGATAGCACATTTTTTCTAAAAAAAACCTATAACTTATCCGTGAGGAAGTCGTTTTTAAAGTGTGCATAAACCACACTTGAAACTTGGAAAATAGCATAAAGATTTATGTATGGGTGTAGTCAACGTGCAGAGCTTAATAATAATATTAATAGGTTACTTTAAGGCGGTATGGTAACGCTCCTTATCTGCTTACAAATACCTTGTTTGCAGTTAACAATTGTGGGGAGAAAAAAGAACAGAGCAGATAACAAGAGGAGCTCTCCATATTGGTTTTACTTTCAAGCGAATTTAACTAAGCTTAAAGTATTCGTATTTTTTGATTTGATATTTATTAATATTTTTATATGGCCATTTTTTTTGACTGATCTAAGTTTAAAAAACTCAGTACTCAGCCAAAAAGGCATTAATTTTTAATCGGAAAGCTTTCCTATGTTAGTTTTTATTATGTTAATAAATCTGCATACTCAATTTAAAACTTATAAAAATTAAAAATTTTTGTCAATTTTTTTAAATTGTAACGATGGAACCCTTATAAAAATTTTGAAAAAAAATTAAAAATTTTGTTTTTTGCGGGGATGGCTAGAAAGATTCGCCTTTTGATGCTGATCAAGAATATATATGACTTATAGGGTCGAAAACGACTCCTTCACAGTGTTTCAAGCTTCTGACTACAGTAAAAATACCATATTTTGATAAGATATTTTATAATATTTTTATATGACAATTTGTTCTACAAATCAATGTTTAAAAAACTCATAACTCAGCCAAAAAAACATTAATTTTAATTCGGAAAGCTGTTTTGTGTTAGTTTTTTCGAGGTTTATAAATCTGCATCCTCAATTAAAAATTTTAAATAATTTCTAATTTTGATAAACTTTTTCACAAATTTTAATGATGTAACCCCTTATAAATTTTGAGAAATTTTGGTACATTTTTTTTTCTGCCGGAGATAGCTAGAATGATTCGCCTTTTGATGCTGATCAAGAATATATATGACTTATAGGGTCGGAAACGACTCCTTCACAGTGTTTCAAGCTTCTGACTAAAATTATAATACTCCTGCAAGGGTATTATTTTACTTAAAATATTAATTAGCTGAAATATTAATTATAAAGCGTATATTCTATAGAAGAAAACTACTCCACTTGCTATTAAAAGTTACAATCATAATAATAATATATCCCTTAAAGTCTGTTTGCTTTCCCTGGGCCTTTTACCAACTGCTCCGTCATACATAACTCAGGAGAAAAGTTGATAAACAGCAGTAGTTGGGCTCGGGCTCGTGGTAATTGCATCTACAAGGGTAGAAGCCATCATCCATCCACCGAACCACCGTGTGCTTCTTGCTCCTTGGGCCTACAGCTGGCCCCGTGTGTGTTTGGTAGAATCCGTTGCCCTGGCAACCGACGAAGCCAGCCCAGTCCTGACACTCGGGCATTCCTTTACGACAAAACGGACAGGCAGACGGATTCTTGGGCTCTTCTGTTCTTTTGCGACCCAAAACCTGACTGAACAGTGGATTTTTTGTGAGATCTGTGTGTGTCCCAGTATTGAATGAGTGTCTGTCTCTTGCAGGAACAAGTTTCGCCTGGCGGAACGCGTCGTTCGCGTCGCACGCCGCGACCCACAGACACGCCTACTCCCACATCGACGCCAACTCCCACTCCCACACCGCGCTCGGATGAACCTCCACCCGTGGAAGCCCCCGAATCCCTCGAGGAGGAGATGCAAATAGATGTGAGTGTGGAGTTACCTGGTTCCGTGCCGGAGGATATCGCTGATAGCGCTGCCGTGGAGCTGGAGGTGAAGAAAGAGCCAGAGAAACCTTCACCGACCTCCCTGGAGGAAGTGCCAGCACCTGCGCCCAAACGTGGACGAGGTCGTGCCAAAAAGATAAGGCCAGAGGGCGGCGACATGGATGCCGTCGTTGAAGTGCCACAGCAACAGCAGCAGCTCGTCGAGGATTCAACAACTGCGGTGGTGGAACGAAAGCCAGGACGAAAGCGGAAGCTGCCTGAGGAGCCACTGGATCAAGCGCTGAGTACCGACCTGGTGGTGGTGGTTAAAACGGAGCACGACGAACTGACAGATCTGGGGAATGCTCCCAGTGGCGATGGCAAAAGGATGCGACGAAGTGTACGCTTGGGGAATCGACATACCGCCGATGGAGCCACGTGGGAGGAGGTGAAGACAGAGATGACGCTGCCACCACCGCCGCCCGAGAGAGAACTACCGCTGACGGAGGTCACCTCAGTTTTGGTGGCTCCAGCCACCGTTCTAGACGAGAAGACGCCGCCAAAGAAGCGGGGTCGCAAGGCCAAGATTCAGCCAGGTGCGAAACTGGAGCCAGGAACTTCCGCCTCCACCACGCTGCACACTCTGACCAATGGGAACAACAACAACAAGAACAAGGCCGGCCCCGGAGGAGCAGAGGTGCAACTGCCCAAGCGCTCGAAAAGAAGAATCAAGCCCACGCCCAAGATCCTGGAGAACGATGAGCTGCGCTGTGAGTTCGAAACGAAGCACATTGAGCGGATGACGCACTGGGAAACCGCTGCAGCGGCAGCAGGCGGGGATGGTGATTTTGAGACTCCTCCAACCGGAGGCAATGGCTCGAACTCATCAACGTCCCGGCAAAAGAGCGACAAATCGGATGGCAGCAACTTTGAGGGTCTGCCAGGACATCCCGCTGGCACGAGTGCCATCAAGAAGAGACTCTTCTCCAAGTCCCAGCGCGATATTGAGAACTATGGTGCTGCCCAGCTGGCCAAGAGCAAAGTGCGACCGTGCCCGGATGTGGAGCAATTCCTTAGCGACATTAAGGCCTGCCGGTTCAATGCTAATCGATCGCCCGAGGAGCGGAAGCTGAACAAGAAGCAGCAGCGGAAGCTGGCCAAGCAGAAGGAGAAACACCTGAAGCATCTGGGCCTGCAGCGGAATCACAGTGAGGAGGCCTCGGACAACGATAGCTCCAATACGGACAATGAGTTCGTGCCCACCACCCGGGTGCAGGTGGGCAAGCCCAGTGTGACGCTTCGAGTGCGGAACACGGTCGCCAAGGAGGTGCCCACGACATCTTCAGCCGCGGCAGCTGCTGCTCTCAAATCTCTCAAATCCACCAATTTGACCGTGCAGCCGCCCAAGCTAACGCGGCGAGTGGGTGGTGTCCGAGGAGGAGGAGGAGGAGTAGCAACAGCAGCAGCAGCAGCAGGTGGCACGATCTCTACCCTCGATGCGGCACAGCTTCATTCGCTGAACAGCTCGATCCTGGCGGATGCCATTGACCTAGATGCTGCCTCACCCAGTACCTCGAAGCTGGCCAAGTTCCTGTGCCTGTGCCAGAAGAGTTCGCAGTACTATGCCCGGAATGCCCCCGATTCGTCCTACTGCTGTGCCATCGATCACATTGACGAGCAGAAGATTGGCTGCTGCAACGAGCTCTCAGCGGAGGTGCACAACCTCCTGCGGCCGAGTCAGCGGGTCAGCTACATGATCCTCTGCGACGAGCACAAGAAGCGTCTGCATTCGCACAACTGCTGTGCGGGATGTGGGATCTTTTGCACCCAAGTAAGGCATTTATTTACTTATTTTTCCCTATTCTTTATTAACTTTTCCATCTGTTTTCCAGGGCAAGTTTGTGCTGTGCAAGCAGCAGCACTTCTTTCATCCGGACTGCGCCCAACGCTTCATCCTGAACACGCCGTATGATGAGGGTCATGGTGGAGATCATCAGCAGGGCGGCGCCAAGTTTAGCAGTCCCATGTTGGTTCTAAAGTGCCCCCATTGCGGAATGGACACACCCGAGCGCACCTCCACCGTGACCATGAAGTGCCAGACGCTGCCCGTCTTTCTGCCCACTCAAAAGTACAAGATGTGAGTAGTTTCAATCTCTTTATTTAGTCGCTCCCTGAAAAGTCTTCATCCTTTATTTAATCCGTAGAAAACCCGCCAAGCTGACCACCGCTTCGCACCTGGCACAGTTTGGTTCTACCGGCAAAACCAGTTCAGGAGCCAAGGCCAAGGGCAAGGCCTCGTCCTCCTCCTCCTCCGCCTCCGCCTCCGCCTCCGTAGTGGCCACAACTGGAGCAGGCTCCGTAACGAAAACAAATGGAACACGTGGAGGAGGCAAGGGCAGCTCTAACTCCTCCGGTCAGGCTCTCAACACAATCAACTTTGCCCAGCTGATACCCGACTCCGTGATGAATGTAGTGCTTCGGGGTCATGTGGTTTCGGCCAGTGGACGCGTGACAACGGAGTTCACCTCCCGGGATATGTTCTATGCCGTGCAGAACGATGATCTAGAGCGAGTCGCTGAGATTCTGGGTGAGTTTCGCCGATATTTTCAAACGCGATACATGTTTTGTCAATATATGCTTATGTATATCTTATTTTTGAACAGCTGCCGACTTCAATGTGCTGACCCCCATTCGGGAGTACCTGAACGGCACATGCTTGCATCTAGTGGCCCATTCGGGCACCCTCCAGATGGCCTACCTGCTTCTCTGCAAGGGAGCCAGCTCCCAGGACTTTGTTAATATTGTGGATAGCGAGCTAAGGACGGCGCTGATGTGTGCGGTGATGAACGAGAAGTGCGACATGCTGAATCTTTTCCTGCAATGCGGTGCCGATGTGGCTATTAAGGTGGGTTCTCCACCACTCTCCTCGCAGGCCTATATCTAATTAATACTCTTTTTGATTAGGGACCCGATGGCAAGACCTGCCTGCATATAGCCGCCAAGCTGGGCAACGTGGAGGCCACGCAGCTAATTGTGGAGAGTTATCGGGCCTCGCGGAATATCACCAGCTTTCTGAGCTTCATCGATGCGCAGGACGAGGGCGGCTGGACGGCCATGGTGTGGGCAGCGGAACTGGGACACACGGACATTGTTAGGTGGGTTTCTTTTGTCACAAAAATGAGCTCAAATTTAAAGATCTCTCTTTTTTGTAGCTTCCTCCTCAACCAGGATGCCGATCCGAATATCTGCGACAATGACAACAACACGGTGCTCCACTGGTCCACGTTGCACAACGATGGCCTGGACACGATTACGGTGCTGCTGCAGGCAGGAGCCGATTGCAATGTCCAGAACGTGGAGGGTGACACACCGCTGTGAGTATTTAAAGCTGAAACTAGGAACTCTTCCACTAACAATCCACCTTTCCAGCCACATTGCCTGCCGCCATGAGGTAACACGAATGTGCATAGCCCTGATTGCCAATGGGGCCGACCTGATGATCAAGAACAAGGCCGAGCAGCTGCCCTTTGACTGCATACCCAACGAGGAGTCCGAGTGCGGCCGCACCGTGGGTTTCAACATGCAGATGCGTAGCTTTCGACCCCTGGGCCTGCGCACCCTCGTCGTGTGCGCAGATGCCTCAAATGGACGCGAAGCGCGTCCCATTCAGGCGGTGCGCAATGAGCTAGCCATGTCCGAAAGCGAGGATGAGGCGGATTCCCTGCTATGGCCGGACTTTCGCTATGTCACACAGTGCATCATCCAGCAGAATTCAGTGCAGATCGATCGGGTCTCCCAGATGCGGATCTGTTCGTGTCCGGATAGCTGCAGTAGCGATCGCTGCCAGTGCAACGGAGCCTCCTCGCAGAACTGGTACACCGCCGAGAGCCGGCTGACAGCAGACTTTAACTATGATGATCCGGCAGTGATTTTCGAGTGCAACGATGTCTGTGGATGTAACCAGGTGAGTTAGCTATCTTTTTGGGAGAGAGCAGAAATCTATAGCCTAACCATATCTTGTTTCCATTTATTTAGCTTTCTTGCAAGAATCGCGTTGTGCAGAACGGCATGCGAACGCCGCTTCAGATTGTGGAGTGTGAGGAACAGGCCAAGGGCTGGGGCGTCAGAGCTTTGGCTAATGTCCCCAAGGGCACATTTGTGGCCAGCTATACGGGCGAGATTCTCACCGCCCCGGAGGCGGATCGTAGGACCGACGACAGCTACTACTTTGACCTGGACAATGGGCACTGCATTGATGCCAATTACTATGGCAATGTGACGCGCTTCTTCAATCACTCATGCGAACCAAATGTCCTGGCCGTTCGTGTGTTCTACGAGCACCAGGACTATCGTTTTCCCAAGATTGCCTTCTTTGCCTGCCGCGACATTGATGCCGGCGAGGAAATATGGTAAGTGGCAGTCAAATAAATAAAATTCAACTTTTAAATTAATTAATTTATAGTTACGATTATGGAGAGAAGTTCTGGCGAGCGGAGCACCGGTCCATCTCTGGCTGCCGCTGCCTTACAGCCTCCTGTAAGTACCACGCCCAATCCCAGTCGCCCAGCACAAATGCCTCGCCCACAGAGGCAGCGACTGCTGCTGGTTCATCGGATCTGGAATCAGAAACGCCATTGATGGCAGCTGCCGACGACACCTCGAAACTATAAATTATTCCAGGATTGCTGCTCCTACTCCCTACAGATGAAGTACCCCCACCAATCCACACAGACATCATACATACACACACACAGCATCACCACAGCAGCAGGAACGATCGCCATATATAAATGTAGAGTCGCATATATAGATAGAAAGTAGAGAGTATGCATGAAATATCGAAATCGGAGCCCATCTCTCCTTCGACTGCCAAATGTTTCACAGTTTACAAATTTTTATTACCTATTTTTACGTCTATGATTAGTGTTTGCTTTTAGTTAATTATTGTTTGAGGTTCTCGCCTTCGTTTCCAAGTCCTTGCAGTTTTGTCAGTCCGTTGTTAAGCTTTGAAAAAGTTTTCAAATAATTCATTTTACGACTTTAAAGTCTGAATTTTTATTATATAAAAATAGTTTATATTAATATTTATCTTGCTATTGTATACACCTTTGCAATCATTTAGTTGCCTAGTTATTTGTTCAATTTCGCTCGACTATATGTTATAGCTATCATAGAAACAAACTGCAAGGATATTAAAATTTCGGCTTTACCGAGGTTAGCTTTATTAGTTTTATCACCTCCTGAATGTTTTTCCATAGATTTTACACGAAATCAGAGAAGGGCAGAGACTATCAAATTATTAACCCTCACCTGGACATACCCTCCCCCCCCCAGTGCGTGTGTGTGTGTGTGTATGTGTTTTTCAAGCATACAATTTAGATCTAGATTCTTAAGAATTTTATAGTAAACGAGGAGGAAATGTTGGAGAAAGTGTATCTAGTCATAAGATTGAAAGAGAAGCGAGCCATGAAATGGAAAGAGACGAGGTATAGACATTTGTTACAGTGTGTTTAATGGCAGTAAATGCATGCAGTAAATGCAAATAGTTTAAATTTATTTTAAATCTTTACAAAATTGTAACTTTTTTTTGCAAGCCGACACACATTTAAGGCATTTAAAAGAGAAAATCAAAAGAAAAATAATATCTATAGCATATTCAAATAGTAAAGTATACAATATATGTAGATGTTATTTTGTGCAGGGTAAAGTACTGATAGTCGTTAGCAGAAAACAACATGAGAGTTAGGGAAGAGCTTAAAAAACATGTCTATATATACGATATATATATATTATATAATATATACAAACACACACACACACTGAGTGCCACCATCTCCTCCAATACTCCTCTTCTCCCCCATTTGCAAAAAATTGTATTAAAGTTTCCCTTTTTTCTTTTTTAAGTTTGCCAAGCAACGTCGTTAGCCAAGCCACAAGTGCCTCAAAGAGAATACATACCCCAAAAAGCCTCCCTCGCCCCCCCTTTAGAAACCCGAAGAACCATTTACAGGAACTATATGTACACAAATAGATATGTTTAGCCAGCTATCAATCGACCAAGATCACAAATTGCAATGCATTTTGTGGCAACGATAGAGACTGCGGTTCACATACTTGCAGCATACTTAATCAATGTATATGAGTTTCCCAATTATATGTATACCCCCCTCTCTCGTAGCATATCCCCCCTGGCCCATCCGACCCTGTCCCAGCATGAACTATTATATAGACATAAGAATTATCGGGCTATATAAACTTCGATGTGCGTTTTGCGTCTAAGATTTAAGCTGTAAATGTTTGTAACGACAATAGGAGTATACATATTGTACGTAGTTTAGACCATAAGTCACCTCCCGTCACCCTGCGTTCTATTCGCTCCCCCCACAGAGGGTCGGAGGATCAAAGGACACACAGGACATGTCTCCTCTGACCCAACATTTCTATACGTATCTGTGTGTAGCCACAATAAGCAAGGATTTGTAATGATTACGATACGGTTTCGATGCCTGGATCGCGTCCAGAGACTAACCACATTTGGAAATTATAGCATTTAAATCACGAAACTCACAAAAAATCACATCTTACATATATATATGTACATTTATTTCTTATTTCTTAATTGTTATCGCGCACAGCAGTAGCTGTCATATTTTTTTATTTGTTTTGTTTGCCTTTGGCTTCATTTATTCGTATACGGGTTCCTTTCCCTTTGTTAGAATTTTGAAAACAAAAGGATGTACGAGTCACAGCACACACATATTTTTTTTGTATTATTGTTTAACCTGGAATTGCTGATTAGTTGATTAACGAAAATATACACACACTTATACATACCTCCAAAGCCGAGGCACCTTTCGTTTGCAATTATGTTAACGTTTAGCCGTAAGATATTGAATCAATCAAATAAATAGAAATTACGAAACAATAGAAATGAATGGTCAGATCGATAAACAAAAATAAAAACAAGTTAATGTATTGGTATTTATTTTATTTCATTATTCCTACAGAAAAAAACGGTGTTGTTGGGTTTCCTCTTCAAATATTAAACTAATTCAATGCTGCTGCTGCTCTTCTTGTTGTTGTTGCTAATGTTGTTCTTGCTGCTGCTGTTCTTGTTGTTGTTGCTAATGTTGTTCTTACTGCTGCTGTTGTTTTTGTTGTTGTTTTTGTTGTTTTTGTTGTTGTTGTTGTAGTTGTTGTTGTTGTAGTTGTTGTTGTTGTTGTTGTTGTAGTTGTTGTTGTTGTTGTAATGTGGGATGTTGTTGTTGTTGTACATACTGTGCAAATCGTGCGGTTGTGTGTTGTACATACTGTGAAATCGTGCGGTTGTGTGTTGCCAAGCCAAGCCTTCGATGAGCTCGGTGTCGCTTAATTTTCGGCCTGAAATACCAGGCGAACAGAAGGCAGCAGCAAGCAAATTTAATTTTCTGCAAAATCATTTTTCACCCTAAAAGCATGCTACACCGCACCCTAGAAGTATGCTACACATTTTATTCGACTGCATACTTTTGCATATTTTTGGCATTGCATGCTTTTGGGGGCACTGTGTAGCATACTTCTAGGGTGAAAAATGATTTTGCAGAAAATTAAATTTGCTTGCTGCTGCCTTCTGTTCGCCTGGTATTTCAGGTTGAATTTTAAGCGACACCGAGCTCATCGAAGGCTTGGCTTGGCAACACACAACCGCACGATTTCACAGTATGTACAACACACAACCGCACGATTTGCACAGTATGTACAACAACAACAACATGAACATGAACAACAACAACAACAACAACAACAACAACAACAACAACAACAACAACAACAACAACAACAACAACAACAACAACAACAAAAACAACAAAAACAACAACAACAGCAGCAGCAGCTGCAGCAACAACAACAAAAACAACTTATTAAGAACAACAGGTTGGCGGCAACTGAACAAATTCAAATACAAATTTGTCGGTTAACTGATAGGGCGGGTACTGAGTGTATTTGAATTTGAATTTAAATTTTGCAGGTAAATTAACATACTTTTTGTCTTTTGTTACTGTAAATTCTTGTTGTTGTTAAAAGTTGTTAAATTTGAATTTAAATTTATCGGTTTACTTACATGGCGGCAACTGACCGACAATTTAAATTCAAATTCAAATGTGGCGGTTAACTGATAAATTCGATTCTAATTTTGCAGTTTAATTATTAAATTCGTCTTTTTTTGTTGTTGTAAATTGTATATTGTTGTTGTAAAAGAATTGCTGTTGTTATTGTATATCTAATTTTAAGCTGTAATACACATACCCCACTATTGCCTGGCCTGGCAACCTGTTTGAGCTATTCAGCTTTACCTTTCGATATATACATATGTATATGTATATATATCCCTGCTCCGATCCCATTAAAAAGACTTTTGTGGTTTAAAGGAAAAATACATTGATTGTGTAGCTATTTTCATTCTTACGATTTACACGCATAACATTTAGTTACAAATACATTTACAATTGAAAATTGCTCTACTTATGTTTTTTCTTTTTCTTGGGGGCTCTTGGGGGAAACGAAAGTACATTTTATAAACTAATCAGTTAGGTGTAAGCATACATACATATACAAAAAGTATTTTATTTAATTAAACGGGAGACACACAAAAAAAAAGAATATAGAAAGAAAAACGAATAATTTATTCGTTACTTAGGTTCGTTAGCTTAGTAAAAACATAAATAATTAATGCCTTCTCATTGTATTAAATATTTATATTATGTGGTAATAATAATATCCTCCGCCATGCCGTTTCTCATTTTCTTTGTTTAGATTACACGTTTCTTCATAGTTTTTGTTTTTCTTTTTAGTAAAAGTGTAAATGTAGATTTAAAATTTAAAACTGATGTTCTTGTTGTTGTGGAAATACCATATACATAAACATCCAAAATCGATAATAGATAATAGAGGCACATACAAAGCAATGACTAAAACATACAGATATCGGATATATACTATATATAGGCTTCCTTCTATATGTTTGTTTGTTTTTTTGTTTTTAAATCTTTTGTTTCTTTTTGGGAGTCTGTTGTGTTGTGTGTGTGTGTGTGTGTGTGTGTGTGTGTGAGTGTAGTTTTAGTTGCCGTTTTGAACAATTTGTTGTAATTTAAGCAGTACATACCATATATGTAGCTCGTTTAGATAAATGAAATACAACTACATATACATATATATCCTAAGAGACAGTCTTGTTTCCTATGTGCGTGTTTATGTGGGTGTTGTGGGTGTGTGTACATATGTGTCTGTATGGTGTGTGTGTGTGTGCAGAATACATTCGATAATCCCCCTCAGTACATGTACATACAATCAGTAATTATTTAATTAACAAAACAGAACCTTACATACAACAGGCTATCATTATTATCATTAAAAAAAAAGGAAACTAAAGTTAAGCCAAGAATCCGAGTTAATTCTTCTTCCTTTAGGTTTTGTACATTTCACATGTGTGTTTTGACTAAGGATCATGGATCGGGGATCAAGGCTTGGACAGAAGCCAACGCACGAGTGGTAGACACATTCATATACTAGTATATATATCCATATATCCATATACATATATATGCGGGGAGAATTCCTCTCTTTGCCTTTTCGCAGCCTTCAAAAGGCATGGGACTGGACAGGATTGGGTCTCTTAACTTTGTATCTAATTTACACTTGATATATACTTGATGTATATGTATGGAGAGCTTTACTCTCTCTTTAAGGGGGTATATAAGTTATCCATCCTTCTCCCAATTAGCCTCCATCTCTCCATGTCATCTCATATATCTCCTCCGCTTGTTATCCATAAATATTTGTTGTTTACATTTAAAAGCAAATTGAATTTATATCTCGTTTGTGGTTAACTTTAAAAGTTGCTTCGTTTAATTGAAGGAAGGTTTGCATGTTTCTTTTTTTTTAGTTTTTGATTGATTTGATTGATTGATTGATTGGATAGCCGCCTCTACTTGGGTTTTCGATTTTGAGTTTGATTTTCTTTAGTTTTTTTTTTTAGTTTAGCTTAGTTTCCTCTTAAAACCAGGGACCGTAATTAATATATATATATATGTTTGAATATAATAATCAGTGAATAAGAGTTATTTTAAAATTGCATGTAGAGGAATTAATTTTAGCTATTCAAAAGTATAATGAATGATTAAATTGTTAAAAAATAAAATAATAAAATAAAGGAATAACCTTTTTCTTTATAAATTTTAAATGAATACCATTAATTTTTACTTCAAAAATGTGAAATTATTAAACTTTCCAAAGCCTTAATCTGGATTTTCTTGAAAAACTCATTATTCTTATTTACGGCCCCTGCTAAAAACACACACACATTTATTTAGTTTAGTTTAGCAGTTATCAGTTATTTGGTTGAAGAGCAAGGTATATAAGGTATATATGGCCTATATAACTCGCCTTGTGCTGGGTTACTTGGCTGCATTGAGAGATATTCCTACACACAGTATATCGTATCATATATAGTAGTAGTTATATCTTATCTTTTCTTCGCCCACTCCCAAAAATTCGTTGTGTTCTCTTGCTGTCTTCTGTAAAAGGATCTCTGGGCCTTGGATTGCTGGTGGTTGTGGTGGTGGTGGTGGTGGTGGTGATGGTGGTTCTCCAGGATTAGTAGTTACTTGGTGGGGAGTAGTTAGCCGAGTTAGCTGAGGTCGCAACTCGTCGAGCCTATATATCTTAGGTAGGTAGTAGTATATATACTATATACGATGTATTTCGGATGCAGCTACATATATCTTGTATAATTTGTATGTAGACGGAGATAGTGATGCTCTCTCTCTCTCTCCAGATATATATATATTATATTGTATATATCCTTTAATATATATATGTATATATAAAGTTGGTGTTTTTCGACTAATTAGTAGTTGACGGGGCGCCGTCCCCTGGGCTTTATCTTCTCTGATATCTGCCACATCTCCTCCTCGCCCATAAAGTCCTTGAAGTTATCGAAGAAGCGTATTATGCGCTCGTTGCGTCGAAATGGATAGGCACTATATGAAATCCATTAATTACTTTGGTAAAGTTCAGTTAAATTGAGGTACTTACCATTTCTTAAAACGTTTCATGTTGACAATTATGTTGTACTGCTGCCAGCGCTTGGAGAAGTTAATAACGCCCTTGGACAGATAGTCCTGGTTGCCCACATGGACAAACGTTAGATCTTGAAGGACCAGGCCACTGCAAAATACCATGTTAATATACCTTAAACCTCTAATAATATATAGGAACCTACATGTAGGGTATGCAGGGCGGATTGGTTTCGGCCAGCGCCTGGCGGTAGGCCCGAAAACTGGAACTGGAATCGATGAGGGCGCAAAAGGAGCGCACCTCCTCCGTGATGCCCTTCTGCCACTCCAATCTGGGGGAGAGAAAAAACCCAAGTTTAAGTCTAACAAAAAAACACCACAAGGATAACGCACAGAACCCACCTTCTTATGGGTCCCGAATCCAGCGCAGAGAGTAGCGCCAGATACGAGTTGTAGTTGTTCATCTTACGCAGATGCTTCATTATCTTGATGAACTTGTTCACATGCTTCTCCCGCTCCTTGGCATCCTGCAGACGCAGGATCTTGGAGCGCGCCCAATAGGACATCTTGTTGAAGTGCTCGGTGAACTTGTTGAGATTGGGCGACTTCTCCTCGCACTGATCTTTGGCAAATAGTAATACTTCGGGTATCTCGATCCTCTGGAACAGCTCGGCGTCCAGCAGGGTCATCTGCTCGGCTATCTCCAGCGACTTGAGATCGAGCAGGCCACTGCCGCCTCCACTGACCACGCCAGAGCTGCCGCCTCCGCCCAGCTCAAGCTCGAGCCCGCCTCCTCCACCATGCAACCTGGGCTCCTTGTACAGTGTCACCTTCTCCACGAACTTGTTGCGCAGCAGCTTGGCCAGATACAGCTGGCCGGAGCAGACCAGTTGATAGACAAACTCCACCAGCAGGCTCAGCAGCTGGCTGGTGAGATCCGTCGACCTGGACACGAGTGTTTAGTTTACAGATTAGTGGTCAGGGATCAGATGATCAGGGATCAAGTGCAAAACTCACGTTAAATCATTGACCACGCGCACCAGCAGCGAGAAGGTCTCCTTGGCGGCCTTCTGCTTGTTGTCCTGCACCTGACAGAAGAAGTATGTGTAGCGATGGGTCAGCTTCTCGATCACATCGATCGGCTGGATGAAGGTGCGGAAGGTGGTGATGAACGCCTCGCTGAACGCTGCGACAGGGACAACAACAGAGGCAGAAGAGTTGAGAGGTAAATGAGAGTGGAAATGGGAACGTGAAGGCTTCTCCTTCTGCTTGTGTCTGTGTTTGTTTTTGTGATGGGGATGCCTACCATTGTCGGCCACCTTCTGCACGCAGCTGGCATGCACGATGAGGGCATCGATGTAGCCACCCTTCACCTCCGGCCCATCCTCGTCCTTCTTCTTGAGTATCAGGTACCGTCCGATGTTGACCTCCTCCAGCATATTGATCAGCATCTCCTCCGCCTCCGGGTCCGCCTCCGCCTCCGCCTCAGCCTCAGCCTCCTGCAGCTGCTGCTGCTTGGAAGTTTCATTTCCGGCTACCACCTCATTGGGGACCTCCTCGACCACCTGTTCGTCCAGCAGCTGGGGTGTATTCAACGGCATTTGACCCGCATTGTCCACTTCGTTGGGCAGCTGATGGGAGTGACAGTAGTAGCCATAGCCATCTAGCGCTGGTGTCCAAGGCATTGCCTCAGGCATGTTCTCCTCGCCGCTGAGCTCCTCACAGACCGTGGCCATTCGGCTATCCGGTCTGCCAGTGGATCCATTCTCGGCACTGCTGCCTGAGGCTGCTGCTGCTCCTGCACCTCCACTTGCTGCTCCTGCTGCTGCTGCTCCTGGCTTGGGACTGGCTGGCGGTGTTGGTGGCGGGGTTGTTGTGGTCACTATGATGGGCTTGGGGCTCGGCGGCGGAGTCATTGTTGTCAAAATGATGGGCTTCGACGAGGAGGAGGAGGAGGAGGATCCTCCTGTGGCCACACTGTTGGCCTTGCGCTGCTTGTAGTTTTTGGGCGGCAGCGCCGGCGGTGTCTCCAGCTCCGGCGACAGCTCTTTGCTCATGGGCATGATGCTGAAAGAAGGAACACAGGGATTAGGAAAGTAATTAAGCTGCTGGTCTACGACTCTACTCACTTCATGGTCTGGCTGTGCGAGATGTTGCGGCTGAGGTTGTAGGCGTGCATCGTGTGGCGATGCTGCTCGATGGAGCGTGTGGAGGCCGAGCAGATCTCCATGTAGGCCAGAACTGTGTGTGGGTTATATAGAATAGTGTTAGTATTATCTCAGTCTATGATCCGAATTTACTATTAAGAACTAAGCATCGATCGAGCCATCCTTGGACTTGGTGGATGGACTTCCCCAAGGGCTTTTTACGGTCTTGGGCTCTACAAGGGATCGGCGGAGGAACGAAACGAATACAACACAAGGAACACAACAGAACGGAACAATAAAGAGCGGTTGGGGGACAAGGAGCTGGAGGCTGGAGGCTGGAGGCTGGAACTGGAGCTGGGACAGATGGGACAACACATTAGCAGGGGGTTAGAACAAAAAAGCGAGAGATCTAGAGCTCAAGCGCCAGCTGGAAACCAACATCAAACGCAGCAGGAGCAGCGGAGCAGCAGGAAAGCAGCTAAATTAGCTCGAAAAAGCTGGCAACTCGAACTCGAAATGCTCTTTCCCAGGGCTACCTGTATCTCTTAAGGTCTCTATTTAAATTTAATTCAAAGAAATGTCCCTCCGGAAGAGGTTCCCATCTCACTGGCTCAGTAAAGACCTTAAATTGTGACTACGGCATGCATCTTTGATCATCAATATTTGTTAAATTAAGAACTCCTGAGAAACCCTACCATATTTTTATGATAACCTCTTGGTTCTAGTTTAAATTTTCACTTAAATTTACTACTCAATCTGCTACAGATTAAAAATGTATGCTTTTATCAACAAAAGTAAGCCATAATCAAACTAAAAACAAGAGCATTTCGAGCTCGTTAAGCTCAAGTTTTGTATGTTTTCTTAAATTTTCGAGTTAATGATTTGATTTTTGTTTGTTTCATTCGTGTTCTTTGGGCGACTTTGTTTGGCAGCAGGTTGGTTTGTTTTGTGCTTGTTTTGTTCGTGTATTTTGAGAGGTCTCCGCTAGTTAAACACACAGACTTACCCGAAAAGGCCACACTCTGAAACACTAGATGTTGGTGGGAACGATAATTGAGATGGGTTAGACTCTTGCGTACAACAATTTGGCAGACTTTCGTGGCTTGTTTGGGTTGGCTATAGAGGGGTTTTTGGGTGGGTGTGTTTTGCGATATATATATAACATGTATAACATATAGAATGCTATGAATTTAAAGTATACATATGCATGTGCTATAAATAAAAGACTCTGAAAAGGACACACAGAACCCCCCGGACTCACAGGTCTACATAGATGATGAGGATTGTCTGATCAGAGAATATATATATGGAGACTGTTTTGTGGCTACTGATTGGTCGAGTGTTTAGTCTGAAGTATGGACTTTTGATATTCGATATATGAAAGACACCTAGTGACCCTTAAAACACACACATCACACACACACTATACACTGCACTTACCGCTCGGCCTGGCCTGGCGGTACAAATGATAAAAACAAAACATTTAAACACACACACAGACATTCGATGCAAAATAAACCGAGGAAAAAGGAAAAAAATAAGGGAAAAGAAATCGATGTAAATATGTTTGGTGCTTCCTGTGGCGCATCCACTTACTGTGCTTCTTCTTCATGGGCAACGGTGGCGGCTCCTCCAGATGCCGCTGATCGAACGCACTGCAGCTCCCGCTGCCAGCCAGCTGCAGGCGTGGTCCTTCAATCAGGCTGTGATGCTTGGACTGCCACTGCTGCAGCTGCTGGGCATGATGGAGATGCTGCTGCTGCTGCTGCTGCTGCTGCTGCTGCGGGGATAGTTGCCTCAGCTCGGCCACCTCCGACTGACTGCTCCGATGGCTGGCCCAGCCACTGGACGACGACTGAGCCTCATCCAGTTCATCGGTTGCCACGGCTGAGGCGGCTCCGGCGGCGATGCTACCACGTTGATTGCTCTTCGGCGGCAAGGCCGGTGCCAGATCCCCATCCAGGATCTGTTCCAGTTCCCCGCTGCTGGCATAGCCAGTGCTTGTCGTGGTGGTGGTGGTGCAACTCCGGCTGCTATGCGACACCGACTGGCTTATCTGCTGGTACTCCCCAGTGCTCACCATGGCCGCCGCCGACTCACTGATGCTGAAGGCAATCTCCGAGTTGCTGCTGGATGACTTGCTGTAGTCCGAGGAGCGCTTGGAGACGCTCTGAGTGGAGGTGCGAAAGGACTTCATGGACACGAAACCTGGAGGGATAAACAAAGTGTTAGACAGGTGCAATGCATACACTGAGAAATCAACGAGAAAGCCATAACCAAAAAGGGATAAACGAAACAAAACTAAACGAGGGAATTAGCATATACAGGACAAAGCTGGGGAAGGAGGAGGAGCATTTAAATAAATACAGCAAGGAGATCCTGGATAACTGGCAGGGAAAACGGAACTCATAGCAGGAGAACGGAGTGAGGGAGGAGCAGGGCTATGTAACAGCAAATTGAGCTAGGATTCTGTCTTGTGAGTAGGTACCGGATTCATTGGAGTGACGATTGCTGGTGAGTGCTGCCGCAGCCTTGCGCAGCTCCGTGTTGGTTTCTCCACCACCTGAAACACCACCACCACCAGCCGCTGCTGCTGCTGATCCTGCTCCTGCTCCGCCAGCATTGGGCAGCACTTTGTCCTCTAATGATGCCTCGGTTGCCTCGGTAGTTGTGCCGGTTTCGGTTTCTATTTTCGTACGGGATTCGTTTGGGGTAACCACCACGGGAGTGGGAGTTGTTGTCGTCGTCGTTGGCGGCTGTTCATGACGATTATACTCACTGTGGCTAATCAGCTTGCTCTCCAATGTCTCCTGCCGCTGCTGGAGCTGAAGCTGCTGTTGATCCTCCTCCTCGCGCGAGTGATTCAGCGCCGAGTCAAAGGAGCACTGGCTGTTCTCATCCGGCGAACGCGAACGCACTGAGAGTCTGTCAATCAAATAGAGGCATTAGTTCATCAGGAGATTCAGGAGATCTAGAGGATCCTCCTACCTATCCACGCCATAGTTTAGCAGCGATATATTGGAGCTGCAGTCCAGATCCGAGTTGAGGCTGATGTTATGCGACTGGGCATAGGGCTGTGGACTGGCCTGGTTCGAGGTGGAGGTGGATGTCGACGATGAACCCACTCCCCCACCGCTCGCTGCGCCCGGCTGGCTGCGTCGCTTTGGCGGCAACGGTGGCGGATTGCTGGCCCGATTGGGTAGCGGTGGCTTTGGCGGCGGACTTGAATCGCGCAGGATGCTCTCGGTGCTGTGGGAGCCGCGCATGGGATTCACATTGCACTGTTCCAGGCTGTCGCGCTCCTTGGGCGTCAATCCAATGTCCGGCAGAGAGGTGCGCTGTGCCACTGCCGCTGATTCAGCTGCCGAGACACGCATGCTGGCCATGCCGAGTCCAATGCCAGTTCCAGGTCCTCCTCCTAGTCCTCCACCGACACCCGATGAGGCCGTGACAGCGCCCATAATTTCCGCTGCAGCTCCTATGCTGCCCAATCCAGAGCCACTGTAGCGAAAGGCGCACTGATCCTCCTTCAGCTTGCCCTGAGCCAATGTCACGAGATTCTGGGGGAGGGAAAAGAGATTGCGTTATAATTTGGATAAGGAAATCTGATGATCTGCCATGAGACTCACCCGAACTGCATCCTCCAGGAGATCTATGACCTCGCGGACATTCTCATTGCTTAGGGAGGCGCACTCGCCGCTCTCCTCGGAGAGCATCACCTCATCGCAGAGCTTGATCAGCTTTCCCAGGCTCTGGTACACCTGCTGTGTGGCGGAGGTCATAATGGCACTGTTCTCGTTCAGCGTGTAGTTTTGTATAACTGCAAAGTAATCAATAATTCAATTAGTTAAATGATGAATTATACAAAATTCGAATTAATTCACAGATGCTGGGAGATTTGAAATCACTAAACCCATACCATCCAGGACTCACCCGAGTACATGCTGGCAATCGTCTCCAGGATCACCGTTCCATTACCCGGCAGCACCTCCAGCTTCTTCTTGAGTATAACATCCCGGAAATGCTTGAGGGCATTGGAAATATCCTTGACATGCGTCTCCAGCGTTTGGGTGGATCGTTGCACCTCCTCGGTGGTGGGCGGCGGCTTGGTGCCATGCTTGGTGCGCGGACTATGCGGCGAATGGGATCGTCCCAGCGTATTGTTTGTGGTCCGCATCAGGGATATCTTTTCGATCAGGTCGTCCTTGAAGGAGCGCGCCCGTCGCGCCAATTTGGTACCCTTGAGGCTGTTCTTATGCCCCGACGAACCACTCTGGCCGCTTCCACTGAGATTTAATGGTGCCGGAGGCACTCCACCACGACTTCCAGGTGTTGATGGCTGCTGGTGATGTTGCTGCTGCTGCTGCTGCTGCTGGTGGTGATGGTTCTGGTGATGTGCTGCCGGTGGCGGGGTACACGCCGTGGAGTAGCCACCACTGTTGATGCTATTGTTGCTGCTGCTGCTGCAGCCGCCTCCACCGACCGAACAGGTGCCGGGCGTGGATGGAGAACTGATGCTGCCGTCTGCAAGGAGATCAAGAAATGAGAGAATTTATGAATTAGGAGTCATTTATATTACTTAATTTGTTCAATAACTCACAAGTCAGTAACTTAATTAAGATCATATTTAAGAAAAATATAGATTATTAATTCTATATACCTTTTTCCCCTTACATTAAATAAGTAACTGGGAATTATGGAAGGCAAGTAAGACTTCATTAAATAGATATACTCTATGCAGGAGTAGAGTATTATAATTTTAGTCAATAACTAAAAACTTAGTGAAGCAGTCATTTTTGACCCTATAAATCATATATAACATATTCTTGATCAGCATCAGTTTTTTCGGCCGGATATAGCTAGAAAGATTCATGTTATAATATATTTGATATTTCTAAATGTATAAAGTAATTTGCTTTAAGATATTTTTATGGTTCACATTTAGATGTATCAAACGACGATATTTGCGAAATATTTCTAATACAGATATATTTAATTTAACAATATTTAATTATATTTTTATGCATGAATTGGGAGTATGACATGCATTTTAAACTTCGTTAATTATAAAATAAAAAATAAAATAATAAAAAAAAAACAGAAAAACTGAAGTATTTTTCAAATCATTGATGTAAAAACAATACTTTAGCAATGCAAATTTAAACAATATAAGCGAATTAAATGATTTAAATTAAAATTAACAAATTTAATTAATAAAATATAAATATGCTCTATTTCTCTGACTCCCACTCGCTCCCACTCTCTGTGCCTCTCGCTCTCTGTCCCTCATTACCCCTACGGAGCTGCATGCCCCTTACTCTCGCTCTCTCTCTCTGTGCATCTCTAGAGATACCCCTTACGCTCCCGCTCTCAAGTTCTCTGTTCTCTTGCCTCGGAGCCTATAAATAGCGGGCTCTGCCGCCTTGCGCACCTCATTCCGTCGGTGGCGTCTCCAGTGTTAACATCTAGAGTGATAGTGATAGTGCCTGCCCTTCGATCCGAAAAATATGACGTGGCCTATGCACAATTGAATTTGGATGATTTGGATGAGGAAGAAGCTTGACTTGAAGGCACCGGAAATGTAAATCAACATTGGAAGCAATTGAGCAATGACGAACACGGATAGCCACGTGTCCTCCACGGGGGTAAGTCTTTAGCATGCCAATTATATTATCTACATATATAGGTTAATTAAGTGATTAGGCCTAAGTCTAGAATCAGCTAGCTATGCATTTATTTACCAATTAGTTCCCTTATTAACAGCCTGACTTAAGTATACTTCAACTTTACTATTACCTTTACGATAATTTTAAAACTAACCCTGACTTTGGTGATACATTTTATTCAGAGTAGTATAATTTTAATCACAAGCTTGAAACTTAGTGAAGGCAATCACTTAATCATATATATTCTTGATCAGCATCAACAGGCGAATCTTATAGCTACATATATCCTGCCCAACAAAAATTTTTTTATTTAAATTTCCTATTTTTTGAAAAAAGGGTAAGGGGTAACATCGTTAACATTTAAAAAAATCGGCCAAAAATTAATATTTTTTTATTCTCCAAATTACAATTAATGCATTTTTGGTTTATTTATGAGATTTTTAAAACCATGATTTTTTTTTTAAATAGGCATAAAAGTATAGGTAATATCGATTAAAAAATGGTATAACCCCTTCACTCAGAAGCTTAAAAGAAAGTGAAGGAGTCATTTCCAACCCTATAAATCATATGAATTCTTGATTAGAATCAACAGGCGAATCTTTCTAGCTTTATCCAGCCGAGAGAAAATTTTTTCAAAAATTTCCCATTTTTTGAAAAAAGGAAAGGGGTTACATCATTAAAATTTGCAAAAATCGGCCAAAAATTCAGATTTTAAATGGAGTATGCAGCTTTTTTAACCTGCTAAAAACTAACATAGGAACGCTTTCCGAATTGAAATTAAAGCATTTTTGGCTTAGTTATGAGATTTTTAATTTATAAATATTAAGGCCCAATATTCTATAATCCTAAAAAAACAAAGACAGAATAGCTTTCAACATTGAGATCAATGCATCTTTGGCTTAGATCGATTTCACATTCGAACCCATAAACCTAACTAACTGCTTAGCTTCCTTCCTTGATTTAATATATTTTTAGTTTCATACATAATGATCATTTGATAAACTAAAACTAGGGTATTTTATTTATTTTAAATTCGAATAAATTAAGCTTAACGATATTTTTGATATTTCGCCGATTGATATAGTAATCACGATAATATTTTCCATATTTAAAATTCACACCAATTAAATATTACGATGTTATTAATATTGCAAATTCCTACACAAAGTTTTATGATATTTTCTATATTTAAATTTTCAATAAGTCAATTTTACGATATTTTCTAATGTTTATAAATGAAGCTTAAAGATATTTACGTTTTTTGTTGAGCAGTTATAATGTATTTGATATTTCTAAATGTATAAAGTAATTTGCTTTAATATATATTTTATGGTATACATTTAGATATTTCAAACGACGAAATTTGCAATATTTCTAATACAGATATATTTAATTTAACAATATTTAATTATATTTTAATGCATGAATTTACTCTTTTTCTTGGGAAAAAGAAATGGGAGTAATTAATTATAAAATATAACAAAAATAAAAATAATAAAAAAACAGAAAAACGGAAGTATTTTTCAAATAAAAGATTTAAAAACAATACTTTAGCAATGCAAATTTAAACAATATAAGCGAATTAAATGATTTAAATTAAAATTAATAAATTTAATTAATAAAATATGAATATGCCTATATTTCTCTGATTCCCACTCTCTGTGCCTCTCCCTCTCTCTCCCTCATTACCCCTACGGAGCTGCATGCCCCTTACTCTCGCTCTCTCTCTCTGTGCATCTCTAGAGATACCCCTTACGCTCCCGCTCTCAAATTCTCTGTTCTCTTGCCTCGCAGCCTATAAATAGCGGGCTCTGCCGCCTTGCGCACCTCATTCCGTCGGTGGCGTCTCCAGTGTTAACATCTAGAGTGATAGTGATAGTGCCTGCCCTTCGACCCGAAAAATATGACGTGGCCCTTGCACAACATTTGGATGATTTGGATAAAGAAGAAGCTTGACTTGAAGGCACCGGAAATGTAAATCTACAATGACGAACACGGATAGCCACGTGTCCTCCACTGGGGTAAGTCTTTAGTATGCCAATTATATTATCTACACATATAGATACTAATTAAGTGATTAGGCCTAGGTCTAGAATCAGCTAGCTATGCATTTATTTACCAATTAGTTCCCTTATTAACAGCCTGACTTAAGTATACTTCAACTTTACTATTACCTTTACGATAATTTTAAAACTAACCCTGACTTTGGTGATACATTTTATTCAGAGTAGTATAATTTTAATCACAAGCTTGAAACTTAGTGAAGGCAACGTTCGACCCCGTAAATCATATATATTCTTGATCAGAATCAACAGGCAAATCTTTCTAGCTATCTTTGGCAGATACATTTTTTTTAAATATTCGATTTTTTGAAAAAAAGGAAAGGGGTTACATCGTAAAAATTTTTAAGAATTAATCAAAAATATGAATTTGTTTACATTTTAAATTGAGTAGCAGATTTGTTAACCTAATTAAAAGTAGCATAGGACCACTTTCCGAATCAAAATTATTGCATTTTTGGCTTAGTTATGATATTTTCAAAAACGTAAATTTACCAAAAATATTATCATATAAAACTATCGATTTCATATATCTAGAATATATTTTATGTTTTCTTGTAGGTGTACAAAGTCTTAAAAGGCAATGATTGCCGAAAGTCATTGATTAATCAATAAAAAACAACAAAAAAATTCAACACACTACTTAAATTAATTTTGTTAAAGTTTTGTAAGGGATAACATAATGAAACTAGGCAAAAATGCATTAAATTTCTTAATTTATAAATATTAAGAAACAATATTCTAGAATCCTAAAAAGAAAAAAAACAAACACAGAATAGCTTTCAACATTGAGATCAATGCATCTTTGTCTTAGATCGATTTCACATTCGAACCCATAAACCTAACTAGCTTAGCTTCCTTCCTTGATTTAATATATTTTTAGTTTCATACATAATGATAATTTGATATTTCCACATTCGACGTCTAAAACTTTAGGGTATTTTATTTATTTTAAATTCGAATAAATTAAGCTTTACGAAATTTTCTATATTTTAATTTAAAATTCACACCAATTAAATATTACGATTGTATTAATATTGCAAATTCCTACACAAAGTTTTATGATATTTTCTATATTTAAATTTTCAATAAATCAATTTTACGATATTTTCTAATGTTTATAAATGAAGCTTAAAGATATTTACGTTTTTTATTGAGCAGTTATAATGTATTTGATATTTCTAAATGTATAAAGTAATTTGCTTTGATATATTTTTATGGTATACATTTAGATATTTCAAACGACGAAATTTGCAATATTTCTAATACAGATATATTTAATTTAACAATATTTAATTATATTTTAATGCATGAATTTACTCTTTTTCTTGGGAAAAAGAAATGGGAGTAATTAATTATAAAATATAACAAAAATAAAAATAATAAAAAAACAGAAAAACGGAAGTATTTTTCAAATAAAAGATTTAAAAACAATACTTTAGCAATGCAAATTTAAACAATATAAGCGAATTAAATGATTTAAATTAAAATTAATAAATTTAATTAATAAAATATGAATATGCCTCTATTTCTCTGACTCCCACTCTCTGTGCCTCTCCCTCTCTCTCCCTCATTACCCCTACGGAGCTGCATGCCCCTTACTCTCGCTCTCTCTCTCTGTGCATCTCTAGAGATACCCCTTACGCTCCCGCTCTCAAATTCTCTGTTCTCTTGCCTCGCAGCCTATAAATAGCGGGCTCTGCCGCCTTGCGCACCTCATTCCGTCGGTGGCGTCTCCAGTGTTAACATCTAGAGTGATAGTGATAGTGCCTGCCCTTCGACCCGAAAAATATGACGTGGCCCATGCACAACATTCGGATGATTTGGATAAAGAAGAAGCATGACTTGAAGGCACCGGAAATATAAATCTACAATGACGAACACGGATAGCCACGTGTCCTCCACTGGGGTAAGTCTTTAGCATGCCAATTATATTATCTACACATATAGATACTAATTAAGTGATTAGGCCTAGGTCTAGAATCAGCTTTGGTGATACATTTTGCTATAAGATTATACCCTTTCAGGGTATTATAATTTTAATCACAAGCTTGAAACTTAGTGAAGGCAACGTATCCGACCCTATAAATCATATATATTCTTAATCAGCATCAACAGGAAAATCTTTCCAGCTATATCCGTCCAAGAAAATATATTTTTCAGATATTATCATCATCAGATATTAGCATCAGATGCCCAGTAAGTCTAGTGATTGTCAATAATCATATATGTATATTTCAATTTGGCATTAAAGTCCTATTTAAATATTAATACAAATTATAAAAAAAAATTTAAATTTTCAGAAGTCTTAAAAGGGAGTTACATTTATAAATTTCCTAAAAAAAATCTACATCCTGAAGTTAGCTGTTTTTCTTGTTTCTTATATTGTTGCCAGAGAATAATTTGTATAATTATTAATGGAATGTAATTCTAAACACACATTTGATTAGTTTACAGCTGCTACGCTTGGCCATAAACTCGAGAAATATTGTTATTGGATGCCAATGACATCATGATTTCCATGTTAAATATATGTACATATGTGTATATATTTTTTATTTGTTAATGCAGCCAGTTTATTCTTGACTTTTGCCAAATTCCGCAAAACTAATATTGCCAAAAATTTAGAGCACAACCGATATGCAGCATTCTTAAACAATATAAGGTAACTTGCTTTTACTTCCATTCTCCGATTAAATCTAGAACGTTTCCCCTTTATATATATCCCTTAATTCAAAATATAAAAAGCACGACTACTGATTGAGTGAGGCCTGTTTTTTGCAACCACTTGAGCTCCACTTATTGGCCAAAATGTAGTACAATTACTGATTAATGCCTTGCAAATAAATGCCTTTGCAATAATTAGAGCTAAGAAATGCACATTTGCCAAATAAAATTGCATTCCTTGGTGGTCCAATCGAATCGCTGAGGCGTTTCGTTTGGAACTTTTTCAAATGGTGAAGGAGGAGGAGCTGGAGCTGGAGCCAGCAGCTTTCACTTACGGCATAATAGCGAATTCTTGTGCGGCACTAGACCAAGTGTTGGGGAGTCCATTGCCAGTGGAATCGCTGGCGTTGATAGCGCCAATCGTGCCAGCTTTTTGTATTTGCGACGTCTGTGGAATTTAATGCTATGCAACGTGTTGCCGCTAGTGTTGCTGCTGATGTTGCTGTTATTGTTGCTATCTCGCGGCGACCATGATTGCCGCTGATGCTGATGCGGATGATGGTGCTGATGATGCTGATGATACTGATGATGATACTGATGATGATGTTCATCATCTCTGGGAGCCGCTTTGGTAGCTCGGCTGGCTTTGGGATCTACGGGATGCGACGGCGGCAGCTGCTTGAGCGTGTACGAGTAGACATGCCAGCGGTCAGCGAGCGCACAGTCGCTCAAAAAAGATTCATCAAACTGCGGCATAACGTTGCATAATGACAACAACCCAACGAATACTTATGTGAAACAGCAACAGCAACAAAGGCGAAAACATACGCATAACATCACCAATTTGTCGCGTCTTTCGTATATTATGTTTTTGTTTTATTTTGTTTTGCTTGTCGATAGATTTCACCAAATTCCGATAGGTAATAGGAGAGCGACACACGATTAACGATTGCAGCACCTTGTGACTGTTTTCGGTTATTTAACGCACTCAGATGGTCATGTTTATAAGGGAGTTGCCAAAACTCTCTGAAAAATAATATATTTCACCGATTAACTATAGTTGTTGTTTGATATTATTGATATTTGTTACTATCTGGGCATTCTTTAAGCAGATTTTAGGCTTGTATATCAGTATTTTTTATCGTTTTCATACAATTTGCAACATATTATATTAATAGGTTATTTATTTAGATGATTATCAATAGATATCCTTGGTTGTTTTTATAATACAAAGTTGATCTCTTTTTCACTATTTATGTTTTACCAAAACATTACTTTTTATCGTTGCTTCTTATTTAAAACAATAGCACCAAATTTTAATCTGTTGATTTATATTTGACTTATATCATCTGAAAGATTGTCATTTTTGAGACCTTCTTGACACTCTTTAAGTGCAATTTCCGCACTTTTCTAATCGATTTTCAGGCACAAGCAACAGTTTGATTGATTCAATCACCGATAACCGATACGTTAATATATATACTGGACTTTCTGTGCAATTTCTTTCACTTTCAAGAGCAATTTGAGGCTCTTTTTCTTTATTTTTGCTTTTGCTATTGTATTTGTTTTTTATTTTTCCATCGCTTACACGACGACCACGATGACGGCCCCCGCACACTCTCGCCAATCTCTGGCACGCTGGCCTCTGGGTGAGATGTTGATTAAATAAATCACAAATAAAAATGATTATATTTAGACGCTGCCTGCTGATGGTGTTGGAGATGACTATGGCTATGGATATGGCGATGCTGTGGCGATGTTGCTGCTGCTGCTGCTGCTGCTGCTGTCGTCAGCTGTCGCCCGCCGGTTGCCTGTTGTGGTTGTCGTTGCCGTAGTTGTCGACGACTGGAAAGCGCACTGAACTATGAAAATCCGCAAAACGGCAAACAACGGCGACGACGACAACGACTGATGTCCGAGTTGGAGTCCGCGACAGAGACCGCTAACGCTAACCAACCGGCCAACGGCAATGGCAACACATTAGCAGCAGCAGCAGCAACAGCAGCAGCAGCAACAGCAGCAGCAGCAGCAGCAGCAGCAGCAGCAACATTGGGGGATTGGGAGCGGGAGCGAGTGCCGCAGAAGAGCAGCAAATGGCACTTGTCCACCTGGCTGGCTCTGCCTCTGACTTGGTCACTCTCCTGATCTCTCCTGCCGCTCTGCTATTTCTCTCCCTCTCTCTCTCTCCATAATTTCTCTCAAAGAAAATAAAAAATAATGAAAACAGGGCCAACAAAAACGTGCAAATCATTGAAGAGCCACAAAATAGAGATAGGAATTTCTATTGGAAATTCAAATTTGAGTGCAAAAAAAATATAGTTATTAATAAAATTAAGGTTTAGTGGGATAGTATACAACTGGGATAAAGGAAAATAAATATATCCTGTCAATATATTCGATATATATAAATATAATTAACCCAAAAATGCATTAACTTTAATTCGGAAAGCATCCCTAAGCTAGTTTTTGCTAGATTAATAAATCCTCTTACTCAGTTTAAAATTTTTTAAATTTGAATTTTTTTAAATTTAAAAATGGGGGTTATATCGTTAAATTTAAAAAAATTCAATTTTTAACATCTTAAACTGAGTATTTCTATTTCTATTTCTATTTTCTGCCGGAGATGGCTAGATCGATTCGCCTGTTGATGCTAATCAAGAATATATATGATTTATAGGGTCGGAAATGACTCCTTCACATAGTATTAAGCTTCTGACTGATATTATAATACCCAGCAAGGGTATTAAAATAGTAAACTAAATTCCCCAAAAACTACATAAATTATATAGAAACTTGGTATTAAAAATAATATAAGAGTTATATAATATAACAAAGTAATATAATACTACAGAAACCTGATATTTTAACTTGAATTTAATGCCTGATTTGTTGCTCTAAAGTGTTATTTATTTCTCGCTGTGCAGCCTTCAGTTTGTATTTTATTTTTTCCACCTGGGATGCTGCTGCTGGCATCTCTCTCCCATTTGCTCTGGCTCTCTCTCTTCATATTACTACCAATTATCAATCAGCTGGCACACCTGAAAGAGCACCGCTCCAGGTGGGGCAGAGGGTGTGCAGGGCTGTGACAGTGATTAGGGGGGAGGGAAAAAAGGGGGCGGCAGAGGCGACTCTGGGGCGGATTTGTTCAATTCGCAAGTGGCGCTCGTGACTTGCCTTGGAAATGAGCTACAGTGGTTGTTGCTGCTGCTGCTGTTGCTGCTTTTGCTGCTGCGCAACTGGGCGAAAATCGAAGGCGTCGCCAAAAAGTCAAAACCAAATACAGGCCACCGCAAAGGCGAGCACAAATCGAGAAAAACCCAGCAAAAGTGGCAACTAAAATATATAGACAACACAAAAACAAAAAAACCCCAATCATTGAGCACTTTTGTCAAGGTTAATGCCAATGCCACCAAAACCGTTAAGGGTAATGGGTTAAGGGGACCAACATATACCCCGAAAATCGGGGGCTTAAAATAGAAAATGAAACAAAAGCAATGAAATAAAGGTAAAGGCTATATACTACATATATCCCCCCTCAAGGTCATTGGTTGCTAACGTTATCAAAGCAACGAAACGTATTTAATTTGCCACTGATAGGGCTTTAATCGGTTAGCCAAGCGGGACTTCCTGCCCTCTTAATATATATATATATAACATATAAACAATCTACTCTCCACCAAGATAATGATTATTGAAAACCGGAAACCGGAATTATATACCAATCTATAGCTGTAGATGTAGCTGGAGCAAGTATTAAGTAGGTAAGTAAGACCAGGTAATCAGACAAACGTGAGGGAGTTACTCTGAATTTGTATATGATAAACTATAGCAACAATTATAACCGATTAATTCTTGGTTTATATATTATTAATAATAGGCATTGCCAAGCTATAGAGGTTAAGCATTGGCTGAAATGTCTTTCTTTTAGCCAAATTCCAAGTTCCCTGCTAAAGTGCAACACATTTCTCTTTTCATAGTTTTTTTTTTTTTTTGTTGGGGTCGGGTTGCCTTTGGGCCAATTCCAATTACTTGCCACGCCCACACTCCCCTCTAGCCACCTAAGACGTTTCAGGCATTACAAGTCACGTTCACCCAATTAATTAATGGCACACCGCAGAAATGGGGAAATGCGACGACGACGACGCGACCCAAACTCAAATCCAAAAACCAAAAAAACCAAAAAAATAACCCCAAACTTGATATCACCTCCCGGCAGCAGCAACAAAAAGCGAACTGCACAATCGAGTTGCCGCGAGACGAGAGCCACTTTGCATGATTAGGAAATTGGATCAGGCAACGGAGCACCCGGAGTGGGTTCGAGCCACCGGGCGGGTTGGACAAGTCGACTCTGGGAGTCGATCAAGAGGTGATTTCGAATTCTGGTTCTGGCCAAAAAAAAAAATAAATACACAAGATAAGAACGAAACTACAAAGAGTTAAGACAGTGAGACCTCACTAAAGCAAAAATATGGGAAGTATTTTATAAGGAATTAAATTTCACTCTGAGAATATTTTAAGCCGTATTTATAAAGTATTACAGGGGAACTATATGGTATTCCCAAGTTAAAGCTTTTCCCTTTAGTTTATACTAATAGTTCCCTTAGATTAAGATCTATAAAACAAAAACCTGGTTTGCCTTTTGATGCTGATCAACAATATAAGTATATGATATATGATGGGGTCGGAAATTACTCCTTCATTTAGTTTTAAGCTTCTGACTGAAGGTGCAATAATCGATATTACCTATATTTTTATGCCTAATTATTAAAAAAATCATAGTTTTAAAAATCTCATAGCTAAGCCAAAAATGCTTTAATTTCAATTCGGAAAGCGTTCCTATGTTAGTTTTTAGCAGGTTAACAAAGCTGTATACTCCATTTAAAACGCAAATTTTTGGCCGATTTTTGCAAATTTTAATAATGTAACCCCTTTCCTTTTTTTCAGAAAATGGGAAATTTCTGAAAAAAATTTTTCTCGGCCAGATAAAGCTAGAAAAATTCGCCTGTTGATTCTGATCAAGAATATATATGATTTAGAGGGTCAGAAATGACTCCTTTATTGTTTTTTAAGCTGCTAACAGAAATGATAATACCTTCAAGAGGTATTAAAACAACTTAACGAGCTAAGATAAATATTTGTAATATTTTATTTTGTGATGATAAATTAAAAATTAATACTTCAAGATACTATTCATTTTATTATTAGTGACTATATATATAGTATATATATAATTATTCAAAGAATATGCCAGATAAGTTCTACTGTATCTTAGAGATACAAAAACTGGGCTAGGCGGATTTAAAGAAACTGTCAAACGGCGAAGGAATAAAAAGGGGAAAAGAGGAGAAACCGGGGAGGCGGAGGAGGAGGAGGAGATGACACCAAATTGGTAAATTGGTAATTGGCACACCCGATGAAGACCATGATAGTGAAGATCGTTCATAAAATCCACATCGGCGGAGGCATCATCGTCATAATAATGCCGTTGGCTCGTGTATGCAAAGTCCTCGGGTCTCTCGGGCCTCTCAACTTGACCAATATTTGCTAGTCTCTTCTCCTGACCAGTTTCAATGTTGCTGTTATTGTTATTGTTATTGTTATTGCGGCTCTAACCAGTTTTTTTAGCTTTTTTTTTTTTAATTTTTTAAGAAGGAGAGAGGGCCGCCCGTTTGAGAGTAAACCCATTAGCGAGAGCGGCCACGAAAACGCGAAATGTAAAACGAAAACAAAACAAAAAACGGTGAAAAAAAAGCAAT